GGGAGGGAGGGGTGTCCCCCCGGCTCGGCGGCGCCCCCTCGTGGCCCAGCGCGGCCTCTGTCCCCTCCCGCTGCGCACTTGCCGGGCCGATCTCTCCCGCCGCCCGCCGAGCCCCAGCTGGAGTCTGCACCCAGGGCCGGGAGCGGAGCTGGAGCCTCCCCCTCGCCTCCGCCACTCGGGCCCTCGACCCCCCGGGTGGGGGCAGTCCGGGGATGAGCCCCCTTCGGCGTTGCGGCTGCCCAGGGCGGAAGAACCCAAGGCTGGGGCGGAGCTCTCTGGCAGGGTGGGGCGAGCGGGGCGGGTCCAGGGCCTCCGCGGAGGGTCCGGCGGGAACTCACCGCCGCCGCGGCGGGAGCTTGGCTCGGGTGGCCAGAGGCAGGCGGGTCCCCCCTCTCCGCAGCAGCTCCCGCAAGCCCTCCTCCTCTCCGTGGAGCCGCCGCCGCCTCCAGTCCGCTCAGCTCCGGGATGGCCAGGCTCCCGGCAACACCAGCCCGAGATGGGAGAAGTGGCGACAGCCCCCTCCCCACCCATCGTCTCCCCCAGGCGGCGCCCCGGGGCCACCAAGGCTGAAGCGCAGCGGGGACGGAGCGGGAGCCAGAGGCGCCCAGAGCCACGCCGCGGGAGCCGAGGCCCGCCGGGGCCCCAGCGGCTTCCGGCCCTCGGTGCAGACGGACTGGAGAGAGCGCGGCGAGGAGGAAACTTGGCACTCGCAGTCTCCGACCTCGCGGAGGTGAGAAATTCCGGCTGCGCCCTCTCTTCCCCTCCCAGGCTGGGCGCCCGCATCTCTGCCCTCCCCGCGCGGGATTTGCGAGGCTGGAGTGGGCCCAGGTGGACCCGGGGCCGGGAGCGAGCTGTTTGTCAGTCCACCCCTGCCCCCCGAGCTCCTGCATCGCCCCGCGGCCGCCATCCTGGGCTGAAGACCAGTCACTTGCTCTAAACCGGCCTGTACTCTGACCCCTCTTGTCCTTGTGGTCATTTGTCTCCGTCTCCGGGACTGGATTCTTACTAGCGCTCGGGGAATCTGTCTCCGTTTCAAGATGTGGAAACTCTCCATCTGTTTGGGGTTGAACAGTTCATGGGTCTGGAAGCCCCTCGTTCAAATTTCCCTTCTCCCTCGTCCAGGTGCATGCTAGGGTTGCCCTTGGTGAACCTGTAGATCACCCCCACCCCCACCCCGGACCCTCCCAGAGACCACCCACAATGAAGGCCGACCTTAGCCCCGTGCAGGCTTGCTTTTGAAACTATGCACTTCGGGTCTGGTCGTGTGCCCTCTTTCTTTCCAACCTTCCCACTCCTCCAGGAAACCAGAGAGGAGTAGCTCCAACTCAGACTAGGCTCATCTGAACCGCGGGGAATGGAAGGGAAGGAAGGTGGGCAGTTGACTCCCATAACCGCCCTGATGGCGCTGCGGCTGCCCCGACAGCGCCGCGCAGTGGCCGAAGCTCGGACCTACGAAGACGGAGACAGCTGCTCTGCCACTGTCAGAAAACTGTGCCCGAAGGCCACTCCCCACCCGAGCCTCAGTTTCTGGGCGTGCAGTCATTAAGAACAAAATATTTTATATTCGAGTTGCTGGAGTTCGGATCTTGGCTCACTATTTGCCAACTCTGTCACCTCAGTGAAGGAACTCTGGTGGCGTTGTTGGGTACTGTTGGACTGCTAAATACAGGGTTGGAAGTTCAAACCCATCAGCCTGTCCTCTGGAGGAAAACGAGGCTCTCTGCTCCTGGAAAGATGAACAGCCTTGGTAACTTATTTACAGTTGGTATGAATCTGGAACTGCCTCCATGGCAGTGGGTTTGATTTGGGTTGGCCACTTTGGGCTGTTTTCTTTTATCCTCTCTTTTTGTCACCTTTGGTGAGTTTCTTAACGTCTCTGTTTCTATTTCGTCCTCTGTAAAAATGAGACCTCCAAACCTCTACCTGATAGCTAATATGTAAAATGAAACTTATTTTTCTGGGATATTTATGATATTTGAGAACTCCTGAAGCTCTCAACTACCTCAGAAAGACAAAGAGGTTGGGGATGGTGTAATCCTCACCTGGATCTCAAGCCCTGTCCAGCACCTCCCCTACACACACAAACACACAATTATCCATACTGTGCTGAAGGAGGCCCCTTAGAGAGAAGTGCTGGGGAGGGGGGCGCGGGATTTGCAGCCCCATGAAGCTGTGTCTCCAGGGAGACAATGGGAGGGTGAGGGAGTGCCCCCTTTTATCTTAACAGCACCCTCCAATCTATGGAATAATGTAGTCTCAGTCCAAGTCTCCCATTCCCCAGATGGGGCCACAGAGGCCCTGATGTGGAGAAAGAACTCCCCCAGGATTTGACAAGCTAGAGTAGGACCAGGTCTCAGAACCTCTGTGGGCGAATTCATCATCCACCCAAGCCATCAGGCTAAGAGAGCAGAGGGGGTGGGGGGGAGGCAGGTCCGCCTACTGTGCTGCTCTATATGAGTAGACTGTCCTTGGCACAAGGAGAAGAGATCCAGTCCTCAAACCATGGGCAAGGACTATGGCCCTGGAATTGGCATTTCCTAAGTGATAAGCACACCCCCACCCCCACCCCCCTGGGAAAAGGAGAGGGATACCCTGCAGAGAATTGTCCTGTGTGACTCCAGATGAATCCACACCCCTAGGCTTCCTAGATTGCTCAGATGACGTATGGGGCAGCTGCACCGCCAGCAGTAGCCTGGGCCTGACCCTGCCACTCATGTGCTACCTGGAGACCCATGGAAAAGGACGGAGAGGACTCCCAGCTCTTGTTCTGCAGAGTGAGGAGAGGCCGCTCTAGATCTCCCCCACCCCCACTCATGTGCACATACACTTTTTTGGGGGGGTGCACATACACTTTTACAGGGATGCAAACCGAGGCCTAAGAGGTCATGCAGCTTTCGAAGGAGCCTGAAGTCCAGTGCATTCCCCATTGGGCCGCTCACCCACCAGCCGCTCAGTGGGAGAAAGGGGGCTCACTTGTAAAGATAGGCAGCCTCTGAAACCCTAGGGAGCAGTTCTGCACTGACCTGCAGGGTGATTAGGAGCCAGATTGACTCAATGGCCATTGGTCTTGTTGTTTACAGGGAGATTGAACCCAGGTGCCCAGACTCCCAGCTGAGTGTCCCTCCATGGACCCAGCTACATTCTGGCTTGCGGAGGGGAGTGTTCTGGTGGTCTCTCTCCCTCCGCAGCCCGCCCCACCCCCTCCACCAATTTGTTTGAAACAAGAGCAGGGGCTGGGGCTGAAAGGACAGCCCTGTCCTGGAGATTGTTTCTGTCTGATTCTCCGATGAGATGATGGTGGTTGCCTTTCTCACTCCCTCGCTGCTTGCTCACCCTCTTGATGTCTTCAGATTGTAGACACAATCTGTGAACAGCTGAGTCTCACCCCGTTTGGGGAAAAAAAATCTGGGCACTTTCCCAGAAGCCTGGTCCCCACATCCCTGCCTGCAGCCTTCAGGGAACACGTGGCAGGCTTCAGGCTGGAGTGAGGTGGGGGGACCAGAGCCACCTCCCTCATACCCTTCACTCCCCACTGCCTCCCTCCAGCAACCCAGAAAGGAAGGAGAGAAAGCTTGCTTGGGCTTCCCTTTCTGGACCCGACCGATGGCGGCAGTGTCTTTTTCGCTGAGTATCCGTTGGTTGCAGCGGGTGCAGGCCTCTTCGAAATCCCCTTCTGCTGCCGGCTGTAAGCCGTCGCGGCGCGGGGAAGTGGAGCCCTGGGGCGAATGTGCAGACACAATGAAGTCTGGGGCGAAACCAGTGCGGAGCAGGCTAACATGGGAGTTGTGTCTGGAGCCGTGACGCTGAGGACGGCACCCGTGCGTGTTGAGCAAGCGATGGCCCCAGGGGCCGACGCGGCGGTGAGCTGGCCGGCCTGCTGCGCGCCAGCACCCTCTGCTCCCGTTAT